ATAGCCGACCATGAGTCATGATATTGAAAAGTTTGGTTGAAGAATTAATCTGACTGCAGGAAATATCAAATCGATTCAAACCAACCGATGAGTATATTCCTGAAGGTGAGATAGTCTGACGGTCACCAAACAAGTGTAACACTTTCAGTGAATCTTTCATGTATTGATAAGAACAATTTTAGAACGACAACAATTTTAAAACAATCATCGAAGAAAATGAGTGTTTACTAAAAGGCCCACTGACTTTTTTTATCAACCTATTATTATCGGAGGGGAAATTCCCTACTGTTCTCAAAATCTCCAAAGTCGAACCTTTCCATATAGGGAAGAAAACAAGCAAACGATAACAAATTGAAGGCCGATATCTCTTCTTTCAACTCTTTCCTCGAAATTCCGGGAAATAGTTGTATGCATGCAAATCAGAGCTCATTTCTAACACTAAATACTATTTTCCAGCTCTCATATATGTCATCAATGATTAATATCAACCCCACATAGAAAATGAAACATTATCCAATAGGACTATTTTGCGATCCCAGTAAAGCCTTGGACTACGTCAATTTCCAAATTATTCTTTGTAAACTGAATTACTACGGAGTTAGAGGTATACCTTATAATTGGTTTTAGTCATATCTTGGAAACAGAAAAATATCCATTGAACTACAAGACTTCTGTGAAGAAGGAACTGAAAAAAATCAAATCACCTCAGGGGTCCATTCTGGGGCCGGTACTGTTTTTGATTTACATAAATGATCTGGCTCCAACCAGCAGAACTTCTTCCTATTTGCAGATGAAACGAACAGGATAATAATCAACTGTATCTCCAGAAAATAACGCTGACATTCTGAATATAGTTTTGGATTCGACTGGTTTTCGTCTAACGAATTCAATATTGAGACAGACAACGGAACGATGACTAGTGTAGACCATATCAAGTTTCTGGGTATAGACATTGATTGCAATTCAAAGTGGAATCACCATATATCTGAACTCAATTTGAGACTCATTTCTGGAGGAATTTTTGCAATTTCAACCCAAATAGTATTTATGCATTCTTCCATATTTCAACATGAATATAAATCAAAATAATGTTTTCTATACAGGCATTGAAATCTTCAGATGCCTTCCCAACTCAATTACATATTGGGTTGATATCAAAATATTCCTTCATAAATTAAAAACCCTTCTCCTCCAGCATGTTTTACATGATCTGAATGAATTCTACCAAGTTAACACAAAATATGAATTATTCCATCAAATTCATCAACATTGTACATACTTCCCTCTCCCTCTCCTTACACTTCTGTTTCAGAGTGAATAAAATTATTACTCACTCACTTACTATCATTTTTGAAATAATTAAAATGAAATATCTGTGTTGATTTTGTATTTTGGCTGTTGATTGGACTATGCGCTCGTGTGTTTTTTTAGCAACACAATTTTTCTCTCAAAATCAAATGGTTTTGTATTTTGATAAACATCAATACACTTCTCGTATCACATACGGATAATATGATGGAACATAAACCTGACTCGATCACAAACATGGATCATTCGATTTAGCTCATCAAAAATACGGCCTTCTTTCAATTCAGCTCATCCAGAATACTATCTTTCGAAGACCTGTTCCTGATTTGGGACTCATATTTTATGCTCTATTACCCATACACAGCAATAAAATACGTTACCAACAAAAGTCAGAAGATAAATCCGAAATCATATGATAGTTCAACAATGTGCTGTCCTAAATATATTGAATAATCAAAATATGATGATAATTCGAGTCATTCAATGAATCTCCAATCATGCATACGAATACACGATTTCGGCCTGATATAAATATTGAATTTCTTTGATTAACACCTATATCTATATCATCTGTTTAATCCGTCATGCATATCGATGAATATACATATCTGATATCAACCTTGATTTCTCATTAAATGTCTCAGAACTAGCCCATAGCAATGAAAGCAATATTGCATAGGCATTATAATGCTGACTCTGTTTCGTTTTTATTAATGCTAGGTCGGTACTATATGCATTCAGATAAACAAAAATTGTACTACTTCCCTAGTTTTGTTTTGTTGAATGAACAGATGAAGAATTGCAATTTTCATCACATAGAGAATTCGTATTCTCAATGTATTTCTCAATATCCATCTCCATTTATTCCTGTTCATAATTTATCTGAGAATATTCTTTTTCAATACTCTTACCCAATCAAGGGGTTCGAACTTGAACGATGATTAGGTTTTCTCAATTCAGAATTTCTTTCCACGTTCTGTATGATGAATATCAGATTTTCATACATTCGGAAACAAATCCTCCCTTAATGAAGTGTGTTTATGAGAAAGATTGATTGAATAGAGACTGAGATGCAGAAGATATTCACAATTCAAACTCCTTGGTTTCTTCTGCACCATTCTGTATAAACAAACTATTTGTCTCGAAACTGAGGGAAAACTGACACGCCCTTATCACCTTTAGGGTTGTTATTCCACAATTCATTATATGATAAATTATTCAATTTTAATCCAGCATGAGTTCAGTATGAATTTTTGTTCGTATTTTCACTAATACTAATGAAGCTTTTTTGAATGTTCAAATAGCGTATTGAGCATCATCCAACTCTTCCCCTATTCAACAAGATTCTATCATACCTTGTAGTTCATTATATCCTACAAAGTGCACCATCTTCTACTCCACTAAATTACTTTTCTTTCGATATTCACGCTCGAGTTGTGCCAGTATAGGAAAACTTTCGAAGTTAAATGGAATGTTTTTGGTCAACAGAACCAAACTCGACGTTTCCAACAAATTAACCTAATTTATGTGTTCTTTCTAGGGGCTTTAAATAAATTTATAGCCCGGTTTTACCAACGCCATTGTGTGCTGAATCTGAAAAATAGTTTGGGCCTTTTGTCGACGCAGAAAAACAAATTACTAAATCATCTCTATTGAATTATGATGGATTTTCGTTCCGCTCTTTTTTATAGCAAGAACATTCAATTTGTTTCCTCATTCAAGACGGTGGACAGAGCATTCGTTTGGCGTAGTACTCAATCATGGAATATTTTTGAAAAGAGCAATTAGTCACACTTTCATGCCCTATACATGTGGTTGCTTGTTTGGGTTACCACTATGCCAGTAGAACAAACTGACTGAATTTTTCATCATTAGTCATCGATTCATCTCGGAATAACGAAATATGGATGAAGCTCTCACCAGCTCTCCGCCATAAAAACATGAACATAGGATGGTTGAGGGAGTTATTCAATCAAGGAAATGATTAATCAGAATCAGAATACATAATAATGACTAAGATTAGGAGTGAAGGGAAGAAAAACGCTGACATAATAGATGATTTTACGCAGAACGTGGTTCAAGTTAAAACTAATTCGGGATATCAAATTAAATATTCTATCATTGGCAACATGTCATGCACAAAATCCGGAAATGAAATATTATTCTTACAGTATACGTCGAATTGAAGAATCAAAATTGATATCTATTCTCATCGAGATAAACACCATCGATCGATTATAAATATCAGGTTGCTACTGGACGTAATGTAAGTGCGAATATTCATAGTTTTCGTATGCTGCTCTGATTACGCATTTCCCTATAGAATAAAAAGCTTCATGGACAAAAATTCAAAATTGGTGTTGATAGTTTTACAGATCATAATCATGATCTCATATTCTATGGAATTCAACGTGAATATATTAGTCAAAATTATATATTCGATATATTGGAGGATGAACTGAAGGCTTACATCATGAGAAAAATCGAATATGAGTAGTGTGTCAGTGGTTTCGACCATATTATATGAAAAATAAACAATGCTTGGTGGTCTTGTGTTATGTTGGTTACAACTGAAATACATTGAAATGGAAGTTTTATATATTGTCTGAAAACAGAATAATTAGTACGTGGTGACAAGAACTGAAGCGATAGTATTATTACCTGGCTGAGGACAATCTGGAGATTCCAGATTTTGTTTTCCAGGTGAATAATCTGATGGACTCTCCACAATTTTCAACCGTCTAGGCACTCCTAGATCAGAATGAATACTACCCTTGCCCGATTTCCCAATAGGCATTTTATATCCATTTCCTCCATCCGTGAATAATTATTGGAAAGTTGGAAGTTTTTGCTCTTTCTAGAAGTTATGATAATAATAATAATAATCATTCATTTCCTTGGGACAGTTAAAAACCATATAGAAGAAGTCAGTTGCCTACATTCAACATGTGTATATACTCACACTCGTAGATTCACGATAGAGCAATACTAAAAAATGTATCTCACTGCAAATCGCCACAACAAATATTCATACAGCTTATAAAAACTCTGTTCTGTCAAAAAGGATATCGAATTATGTTCGAATGATTGTTATGTAAAGCAGTTTTTCACATTTGAATGAAGATCATTGTTTATTTTAGGAGCCATATGACTGGGAGAATGGTGAGTTATTCTGAATTTTCCAAATGGAATTGGATAATCATTCTTTGGTCTTGTATTGAAACTATGATTATGTTTGGTTCTCAAATATATTCCATCGTCATTGTATCTCCTTATCTGTTAATCACACATTTTTGTCAAGACTTTTCTGCATTTTCATTTGTTCAAGTTTCATCAAAAGTTCGAAATTTCAGATTTGAATTCGAACTGACATTTTCTTGAAATGACGACACCAAACTCGACAGAATTCGAACATTTTGTTGATTGACCAAATCATAGATGTTGCTAATGGAGAAAATACAAATAATGATATGCAATATGTCAAAAGCAGCGCTCAGCGTGAAATGGTCCATTGTTTGTTATATGTTATGATATATATTGGAAACATTTTGTTTTCATATCTAGCTGATATTTTGTTCTGATTCACTCCTCCCCAGAATTGAATGTTTCGTATCTAGAAAATATAAAACCCGATCGTATCTTGTGAAAGTGAATCTGAATTCACTTATCATACGGTTTTCGTTGTTTTCCAGATGTTCCTGTTGATGATCCAATTCTTCGAATGGACAAAGAAATTCTTGATACGGGCTACAGGCTGAAGGGAAACTGTTCTGCACCCTCTTCTTACCCTCCAGCGAATATAACTTGGCTACTGAATGGAAAAAATGTGAGTATATATCAGATGCGACAAACTATTTCTCATTCATCATCTTATATGCAACTTTCAATGAGAAATTCATCCGGTAATTCTGAGATCTAGTCGTTAGTAGATGAACAATGAGGGTTCCAGCTCAAATACCTCCAGTTCTCTCCATATAAGGGATTATTAGGCATAACTTTGTTATAATCCTCCTGTCGATTGGAACAGCCTCAGCAAAAAACACACGCCGCGCCCTGTCGGTTCGTTTGAAGAACATACTTTGACAATCATCATGATAAACATTGTTAGATGGAATGCGTATTCGATCTCTTGTAGTTCACATTTTATTTGAAGTTATTGGTATAGTTCAGAATTTCTGGATAATGAATCTTCTATATCATCTGTAAGAGGTGGAATGGAATAGAAATAATCGAACACGAATAATAATCACCTACACGTTTTCTCAGTTGGAGGAATATCGACAGAATATATTGTTGAATAAACTCTTCTATTCGTTTAATGAATATGTGAATTGAATCAATTGGAATTGAATACCCTACAACATTTCTAGGTAGACCATAAAAATGGTTTTTTGAATATCATAAAGATTTAAATTATTGGAGAAATAAATCACATTCTACCGTATATGTGACAGCGTCCATTTCCGCAGTTCATTTGATCTGCCTATGTCTATAAATAACCAGTGAAATGGAAAATACCTACAAAAACTAGCGTTTTTATGAATCACATCCACATAAAATAGTATTCCTGTATTCCTGATGGAAATATCTTCATCAAAACAATATAACCACCTCAAAATTCAACTAGCTATATCTAATCAGAATAGGAGTCTACTGGCTGGGACCATGGTGGTCTGAATATAATTCTTTAATAATGATGATGATGATGATGATGATTTTCATTTCACTAATCAAAATGTAGAATGCAAAAGCCGAAGCAAATACAGTGTGCAATTACTGGGAAAATGTCACAAGGAAGTATGGAAGAAAAAAAAAGGAGTGTCTTACTAAAAAGAGAAGACAGGAAGAAAAAATGTACAGTTGTATAAATAAACAAATTAATTGAATACCTAACTATTCTAATATAGTTTTTCAGCTAAAAAATTCGTCGATGGTATAGCAAGTTTTTCCTACAAGATTTCTTTCCAGAGCAGATACGATTGCTTCGTTTAACTCATTGAATAATTCAGGTCCTAGAAAGACATTACTTTTTGATAGATATGCGATCTCGTGAACGGATGAGAGCATGAGAGTAGTTGATTTGAGTCATTGAAAAAAATAAAGGTCCGAGTATGGAGCCTTGTACTCCTTGTTCAATAGTTGCTAGTTGATATTGAGTTTTTTTCATAATTTCTTTTTTCCACCACCAGCTCTAGAACCTACCATTATTTACTACTTTTCGAGGCGTGAAGTGTATTCTGACTACCAAGGTAGTTTTCGTCATTTTATGACCTTCAAGTCAATAAAGACATAGCCACCTCTGACATAAAATACCTGATTGCTCTGTTCTCATGCGAGATTCGCAAGAATGGAACTCGAATTATCAATATTGACTTGTCATATTCTGTTATGATCATGATGGCTACTAGATTTTAATCAGAATTGAGAAGAAGTGCTTTCATAGTGACAATAGGTCCATATTTCAGTTTCACAGAACTATAGTGATTGAAATATCCTGCTAGTGGTGAAGAAAAAATCAATATACACCTTGGTAGTAGGGAATAATATTACCATGGGACCCTAATCCCCTCGGGTGTAGCCTAGGGAAATAATCTTGGTCCCTGGGTGATACGGATATTCTTAACTATCTTGGTGTGTAAATAACTATTTAGTTCATATCGCTCGAGAGTCAAATGGGGTGAAAACCAATCGAACGAATAGGAATTCTTTCACCCTTATCACACACTAGGTGCATTTTGATGTGTCATTCCGGTATTGATAGAATGGGTGGGCCCAAGAAAACGGATCGGCGCCAGCCAATAAAAACATTTGAAACTGTAGTAAAGATTGTCATTTCCAACTTCAATATCTGAGTTTTATATTATATTTGTCCTCGTATTTATCTGTGGAATGTAACAATTTTATCATTACCATCATCCTGCTTTTACTCGGATGAATCAAGAATTGATATTGGCTAATTTGATGATTTGATGAAGCCATGATTTTCAACTAACGTTTGAGGATTTTTGGAAGACATCAATGCCTTAGATGGAAGAATTGTCGAGCAAATCGTCACATTATTTGTTGCCATTCATTACAGTACCTATATAATTGATTTATTCATTGTTCTGAATGTCTGGGTGGCGAATTGAAATATCCCGAAGTGTAGAAACTTTTATGAATAAATAATTCCTTCCTTTTATTTGGATACTTTCGAGTCACATTTCACACACTTTCTCAATTCCCAGAATCCCTAAAATGTGATGAGAATATCTATGTATGTCCATTCCAATTATGTGTAGGAAAAAACCCTACTTATTGCCATACAGACACTAGGAACACCTGATAAAGTTATTTGTAGTACTTTTCATTTTTGGATCAGCTTATTCCTGTTTATGAGTTGAATATTCATCCAAAATGAGAAGAGTTGTGGACAAATCCCACAACCGTCTTCTTTTCAACATATTATCTGGATTAAGTGCATCTTCTGTAGCCTCATCCTCATCTCATGTGACTATGGACTGATTGAAGTGATTGGTGGATATTCCCTTCAAAAGTTCATAACACTCTCCTGAAAAATGAATTGTTCAAAGGTTACCTCCATCCTCATAGACATTTGTTGTATGAGATGAATGAAAACTCACTTAGTGAATTGTACCGAATATATTGACTTTCAGAACGGAGAAATATTACTCCTTCTTGTGGTTCTCTATAATTTCTATTCATTATTATTAGCTGGTATGCAATAAATGCTGAAATTTTTTTCTTTCAACTGACAATTCTCATGTCACAATAATGATCACAAGTAACTTTTATTTGTCATTCCAATTTTTAACCATGAGAAGGAATGCAAATGGTAATGGAAATGGGTTTGAATGCACAACAAAACGTGGACAATGCCAAGAACCAGATTGAGGCAACGTTCAGCGTCAGGTATCTGTCAAAGTTGTCATGAGAACCCCAATTTGATTTGATTTTCATTCCGATATTCAAATGGTTAGACTGATTATTAAACGATGGTGCTTGTTGAAATCTCCAATATATCAATAATAGATATCGGCCGATGGTGGATGGTGAACAGGTATACCATGCTGGAAATGTTATTTGTGTCAAGTGGAAAGTGTACAAAAACTTGAGATCATTGGGCAGGTTCAACAAACTTCTGCTGCTCTAAAAATGGAGCCTTCTAGCGAACGAATGGAGATGCTTGTGTTTGTTCTTGTAAAGCTGGCAATATATGGACTAGAGCATACCAATGAAGACAAGAATTGAAAAACCTGTTGTATTTTCCTGTATCGATACATTTCGTATCTTCATCATATACCTATCAATAAACAATACGGATCATAACGGGTGCCAGGATGAAGCCAAAAATATGAAACAAATGAATATCCATGAGGATTTGGTGGCATGATACGCATGCGCCATGCGCTATTATAGTAGTCATCAAAGACATGCGTTTCGGTGGACAATGACGTTTACTAGCCTTTCAATCAAAGCAGTATGTGTCTGATCGTTTCAAAACTTTTCCTTATGGATAGTCATTTGTCTTCAAAAATCGGCTTCATGGTTCGCTATGGAAACAGATAGAGATTATCCGTATTGATTATTAATACGTATATGATCTTCATATAATTTCATACTGTTCACACTGCGTCATAATGTAATATCTGCTGAACTTGTTGGTCATCAAGTTATCTCACCCGCGAAGAGATCCGTTCAAATTCAAATGCATTTGCATGTCATTAATTCATGTCAAATATAACAGACGTTTACTGAAGAAAACAATGGACTGAACGATTTAGACCATGCTTGGCCTCATTTTGAATGAGACTACGTGAGCCACGGTCTGATCCATAGTCTGACTACGGTCTTAACGAATTGAGACGAATTGACCATGGTCCGACATGCCGCTGAACGCAGCCCGAGTTATGGCACAACAAAAGGCACCTACTTCCTGAACAAGTTCAAATTGTGCCCTGTGGTTAATCCGGCCCTGACTGCAATCCCCAACATTCTTGCCATCTTGCCAATCGCACTCGACTTTTCAGCAAAAACATGACAAATAACAAGATTATCATTATTACTTGTTATTGCTCCTATTACCAAGATCATTAAGATGATTTAGATTTACTGTGAACCCGTAATACGACTAGTTCGGACTCTGGGGACCGAAAACTTTGGCCATAAATTCGACGTCGCGGGGTTTAGACAATATTAATGACTTCTCGGAGGTCGGAAATGGCGAGGAGGTCAGTAATAGGTGAATCGTAACTTTAAACCAGGTGCTGTGATGATAACCGAATTCGAACGTAATATCGGGAAGTGGAGATATAGTGTTCGGAAGGATCAGCTGATAGATAGGGTGGTGAAATAAGCGGGCAAATAAAGCCCAGATAATACGGAAACCTTCATGTACCAAGTGAAACATCAGGAAGTATCAACCTCTACATTCCTACTTTTTGAACACTCAGTATAGTTAGTATAGTTAGCTTCGTCAAAATATCCTTTTTTCGGAAAGTGCTTGTCAAAAAATGGTCGCCATTTGAAGAATAATAAACTACTCAACACTAATTTCGTCGCACACCAAAATGTCGCCCCTGTTTTGATGTGAATAACTTTTTTCAGTTTATAACAATTTGAATTTGGTTCACACTGTTCGATCCAGTCCTTCAGCTATTATAGTCTGGTACTCCATTGAAACATAAGGGTATTCACATAAAATCTCTACATGGTGTTTTCCGACACTGTGCGAAATTTCGGAATATTCAAAAGGCTCTCAAATGGTGAAAAAAATGTTTTTCTAAACTTCAAAAACAGAGGCATGAAGATGATCTTATTACCTCG